CCTGTCAGCTTCACACAGCATGCACCACAGCACGCACCACAAGTGCTTGCCTTGAACTTTGGTTTTCAAGGCAATTATGCAACACGTAACAGCTACTGCTAGCACATAATTTTGAGAGTAACCATTTATTTCAGACCTACCATAACTCTGATCTAACATTTTCAGCCTCACATCTACGCTAACAGATATTTGTAATTCAGACAGCTTTAGTGTTTTCTTTATCTCACTTCCACATCTACGCTTTTGCACCATAGTCACGACTGCAATTCCTGCTCATCATGAGCTTCTCTTCCATTCGTGTAAGTCCTTGCATGGAGCAGTTTTAGTTTTAAAGCAAGCTGCTTCTCCCAAGCCTCATATATTTACAGAAAACACAGGCAGGTGGGCAGAGCAACTCTGCAGTTCATGTCTGTTGTAGCAAACAAGCCCAATTCATAATGAACTTTAACCAACTGCCTGAGAAACCAGCACCTTCCAAAGGCTCCACTCTTCTTGTGTCTATGGAAGCGAAAAGTGGTTTAGAGCCAAGTTTGCTTTCAAGCTCACCAACCTTTAGAGTTTTGTGCTTCTTTTATCCCACAGGTTATTTAGGATTCTTTTTCCTTCCTATTCATCTTTATGACAGTGTCTGTGTTCAGGGTATTTTTGTTAGCAGTTGCACGCTAGTCTGACCCTCCTCGTCAAAAACCAGGTACTAAACTGAGTGTTTTTACACAGCCACTGTGTTGATCAGCATTTGTGCTTTCACAACACCTAAGGAAAAAAAAATACAGCTACACGACAGCATAATCTCTCCTTGGAAAAATATTATTTCTGGCTTAAGTAAAGGGTGAAAAGCGATTCAAGAGGTGTCAAGAAAAGCATTCGTGTGTTTCAGGGGTTACAGAATCAACTAACAACCTGTATGCCTATTTTAAATGCAGTTGCATGCCAAAATGTAGAAACTCAGTATTGTTCAAGAAGCAGAATCGTGGCACACAAACACAGCAGCAGAGCAAGATCACACACACAGAACACAGAATCACAGAATCGCTCGGTTGGAAAAGCCCTCTGAGATCACCATGTCCAACCGCTCCTGTCTACCCACTAAACCATATCCCTAAGTACCTCGTCTACCCGCTCTTTAAACACATCCAGGGATGGTGACTCCACCACCTCCCTGGGCAGCCTGGTCCAGCTCCTGACGACCCTCTCAGGAAAGAACTTCCTCCTTATCTCTGACCTGAACCTCCCTTGGCACAGCTTGGTGCCGTTTCCCCTTGTTCTATCCCCCATCACCTGGGAGAAGAGACCAGCACCCACCTCTCTCCAAGCTCCCTTGAGGCAGTTGTAGGTGGTGATGAGGTCTCCCCTCAGCCTTCTCTTCTCCAGGCTAAACAAGCCCAGTTCCCTCAGCCGCTCCTCATCAGGCTTGTTCTCCAGAGCCCTCCCCATCCTTGTGGCTCTTCTCTGAACACGCTCCAGAATCTCAACATCCTTCTTATAGTGAGGGGCCCAGAACTGAACACAGCACTCGAGGTGCAGCCTCACCAGTGCCAAGTACAGTGCCAAGTGCCAAGATGAAGCAACCTCACTTTTCATTGAAGGAAAAGGTGACCTCAGCATGAAATCAAGAGCCACATGGGGCACTTTCAAGTCTGATTTTGACAGGAAAATTGCCTGATCACAAGTACACAAAATGCATCAAAATAAGTACTTCATTAATAAAAAAACAAACATTTTGCTCAAAATGAAGAGCTGAATGTACAGTGAAACTTAAGTCTTGCAGTAATTTGTAGCAGTAGCACTCTGAAAGAGCCCAGCGTAATACATTTCTAAAAGACAACAGTGATAAAATTCACTTGAAAGAAAAGAGTAGACTGCCACAAATGGACGAGTTATTATGGAGCCAAGGTTTCCATGCTCAGGTTATACTTATTCCTTACAAAAACAAATCAAACCATTTTCAGAGATCTCCGTTTCCTTTTAGCGACAAAAAACATTTCATATAAAGTCTAAATTTAAACTTAACCTATGGTATTCAAAACAAGCTCTCAGACTACATTGCTTATTCTTCCCCTTCTAACCTTAGCAATTACACATACCTTAATACTAAATAATTGCGTTCCTACTAACCTAATACACAAGGACATTGAGCACTAGCCATATTTTACATTTCCAGTCTCATGAAGTGCAGCAGGCTCCTAGCAGAGATCAGGTACAGGCTCTAGCGTGCCATACAATTGTTCTTGTAACAGGCAGCCATGATACAACTGATACCCCTCCAAAATTTTAGACTATATTGGCTTTGGCAGCACCATCAGACTGTGTGACACAAGACAGAAATCAAAACTCCACTCCTTTATAGGAGGACAGGGCTGCATCCCCCTTTCAAGGCAAAACAATGTTCTTAACTGCATAAGAGACACCACATTGCTGGACTGCAGCAACAGACCTCATCGACTAAGACAGTGCTCTTAGCTGGGCCAGCGAGCACCCAGGTTCTCCACTGCAACCATTTTCACCCCTGCTCTTTAACCAGGGATTATTTCACCAATGAAGCCAGACAAAGGTTTAATTTACAGCGAGAAGAGCCTGGCTCCATCCTCGTGACACTCACCCTTTAAATATTTATAAACATGAATGAGGTCTCCCCTCAGTCTCCTCTTCTGCAAACTAAAGAGACCCAGCTCCCTCAGCCGCTCCTCATAAGGGAGATGCTCCACTCCCTTGATCATCTTTACAGCTCTCTAGTCACGCTCACAGCTAACCTAGCAGATCTAGTAAAGCATCATGTGTGCTATTCAGTCTCAAAGATAACACCACATTTGCCCAAGGAGTAAAGAGGAAGGAAGAACCCCACTGACTGTCACTCAGTTTGATCTTCTGAGTTGCACATAACAGTTTTTTATATTCAGGTGGTACTGGCAGGATCAGCAGCTCCCATGCTGCACAGGTGGCAGTTCAAAATACTCGCTCCTTTGAAGTAATTTAGGTCCCCAAACCAAAGTGTACGTCTCTTCTGCATGACTTAGCATGGATTCACTTTGCCTTCTGTGAAAACCCAGCACCTGGTCCAAACCAGGATATTGCACCTCAAAGGATTTGCAGTGCCTTGATTCCTACAGGCTCAGAGCATGAACACTGCAATTCCTTGTCAACCAACCCCACATGACGTGGGTTTGCCTGTCAGCAGTACATGAACAGCTGGTCCCAGCAGCACCTGTGAGAGGTGTTGCCAGGTAAACTCTTCCACAGGGGAAATTCTGTTGAAGGGACAGATATCCAGCGTGGTTAATCACTGTTCAAGGGTCTTGTTCAGCAGCTACCTTCCTTCAATGCACATCTTACCAGCTGCTGACAGAGATTCTGTAACAAAGAACTGTTTTAGAAAAGCTCAGGCATTGTCTTCCTTTCCTTAAATCACTACTGTTAATGTGTTCTGGTGATAACAGCAGTACAGACAGGGGTAAGCTTACCATAATCTCCCATTAGCAGATACCTTGTCTGCGCTACTTAAACCATTCCTTGGGATGTTACAAACTGAAAATGGTATTTCTTCCCAGAAAGGCTTTGTCTCTGCTGTATTTCAGCTCAGAGTTATACTACATAATATCTTAAATTAAAGCAGATAGAGTTCAAAGTTAGTCCAGTACAACAGACTAATAAACAAAGAGGTCATTGGACTGCTAGTTTCATAGCCTGCATAACTTTAGAATTAGAGCACAGGAGAGGAGGAAAAGCAAAAAGTCAGTCTTAGCCAAAGCCAGCTGAGGATCAATAAACACTTTCACCTCCTCCTTTATCCTGTGATCACTTTCTACCATCCTCTTCCACTCACCCAGCACTAACATCCTCTGGTTTTGTTTGTTTTCTTTACAGAGCACTCCATATAGTAAGGCATCAAGTTTAGAGCTGCAGGCTCAAATCTTGTCCATCACAAAATACTACAGCTATTCCTACACCTCCAGCAATGGACTGAAGTCATATTAAATAAAAACACTACTATGTTTAAGAGAGACCATAAGTTTAGCAGCCCAGGAAAGAAGATCTAAGTTGGTAAGATTAAAGACACTGCTGCAGAGCAACAGATGTTGACTAGAAGCTTACCTTTCAACTAAGGCAATGCCCCATCTGCATAAACCTCCTGGTTCACAAACTGCTTTTTAGCTTACAGCTCACATCCAATAAGCTGTACCAAACTAGCCACAGCAGTAACTTATTTTAGAATTCTGTAGGTATACTCAAATGTATCAAAAATATCCAAAGACTGACAAGACAAAATATGGAAGTTTAGGTGAAGAGTCACCATGTGCAGAAGTTGTGACTCATGCGGGCAGTAACTATAAAGGGTTGCTCCCATGACAGCTATGGCATTCAGTTCAGTACTACACTTCGACCAGTGCATCATAAGGAATTACTCAGTTGGTGGATTTATGCATTAGATACAGTCAGAACTCAGATGTCTCTTAACACATGGGGTTCAGGGATTGGACATGAACTGATGACTCCAAGTATTTGGGAAAGAAGCTCCCGCACAATACCTCACCTATTTCTCACGTGTGAAGCGTATGCAGAGGGTTTGGGGTTTTTTTGTCTTTGCTGAATGTCATTGAAAAGATATTGTGAACATCATCTGTTTTCAGGACTGACACCAGCCCAAAGGGTTCACGTCAGCTAGCAAAACTGACTTCAGCTGTTACTCACATCTGCGCTTTTTTTACAGACTATCATCCAAGCCTACCACACATTCTTAAACACAGGTTGTTAATAAAAAAGGAAAAAAAATAAATGCACTAAGTCTATTTCCCTTTTAAAAATCATTATATATAATTTTCCTATTAAGCAAGTACAGTTAAACAAGACAAACATGAGATCACTTAAAAGCAGACATCCTGCAGCTCAAATAAATACCAAGGAAAAATGGCTCTATAGTTCAACTACCTGAAAGAGCCACACGCTTTCAAGTTGCAGAAAGTGTAGTGAAAAGGAACTGATGTGATTTCCGTATGCTGACCTACCAGAGTGTGATGGGTCCCATCCACACTAGCCCCAGACTTTTGTGTTTTCAGCACATCACCATAATCTGCTGCATCGAAGTTAGTCTTCCACACCATCACCTGCGGAAGAAAGGCAAGTGGTTAAGCTATCTCTATTAAAATTTTCCATCTACATTTGTTTAAAGGTCAATTTTATCAACACATCAGAGAAAAGGAAGCAGATGCACACCAAAGCTCACCTAAGCAAGCTTTGCCATCAATTCAATTAAGAATGCTATTTGTAAATATGCAACTTAATACACACATAGCATAGCTGAGTTCTCAATGGGTAAGTGACCTAGGTCTTCCAACATTCTTTGGGTCAGGAACATAATTAAACCAGAGTTACAAAAATGTCTTCAGAGCAACATGCAGAATATACCATTAAACCCACAAAGACATAAAAATATCATGCTTAGCATTACAGCAGTTATCAGTCACACCCCAAACAGCGTAAGGTTGGCTCACCATAAGATTCATTCATAGGAAAAAGAGAGTTAGTACTCCAAGACTAGCCTTAGAAATCTTCATCTACGCTGTCAGCTAAGTATCAAACTTAAATCCCAATTACAGGCTTCTTCCTTCCATAATGCAGTGTTTATTTCAGAAAATAAGTCTTTGACATAAACCACTTCAACATACTAACTATTTCAGATGTCTGAAAGGCAGCTCATTGTGGTTATCAGAAACGTAAGCGTTCATTCTTTACTTACAAGTTTTCATCCCTGCTTCCCCTGAAATAAAAGGATTTTTTGGGTAGCTGCACAGTTAACCAGTGAGGCCATTCCATCGTGTAACCGAAAACCAGCAATGCTCTTTATTGTATAGACTGCCTCTTCACAGCTAGCAAGGGTGCCAGTACAACGACGGGCACTGCCATGTAGTCTAACGTGGGGATTAAGAGCAATGCTTGGCGAAAACCAATGACAGAAAAATGGATACGTGCTCAGACCACTGCTTTGAACTGAAGTGTCAGACCCCTGCCTGCTCGCCTCGTTCTTCTTACACCGGTGACTCAGAACTGGGCAGTGGCAGGTCAGGAGACGATCTACCAGCATAAACCTGTGACAGTCAAGGTATCATTACAGACATTCGTACACCCATCTAACTTATGCCCCAGCAGCAGATGCCTCAAAGGCCTGTAACAAGCGCTGTCTATAGGGTAATATTTCTTCTAATGTACACACCCATTCCCAGATAACCCAGCTGAAGTGCTTCCTCAGTAAGAAAAGTCTACCTTTAATATCTCTCATTATTTTTCGTATTTGTTTTCTCTTTGAATACAGTAAGAGGCCAAGAAAACAGTAACAACAAGGCATAAAACTATCAAATGAAACCAAATACCTGTTCATCAGAACCTCCAGAGGCAAATAACTCTCCAGCTCTTGAAAATGCCACGCAGGTAGCTGGGCCCTGCCAACAGATTTCAAACATAGGTTTAAAAAAATAGAAAAGAAGAAGTGTTATAAAGCTCCATTCATTAGAACTTCACAAAGAATTTATCATTTGACATCAGCAATCTAAAGGCAAAATTTAAAAAGCTCTTCTCTGTCAGGTAAGTGAGCTACAATTAACGTGCTAAGCTCACTGGTGTTTCCTTAACCATTTCCCACATTTTTGCCTCAGTTTAAGACACCCACTTTTCAATATCCATGGCAATAGAGACAGGAACAAACCAAGTTTTACAGCTTCAGGCTTTTCCTTGTTCCCTCTCAATCATTCTGTCTTCCCTTTAGAATTAGAAATTTCTAAGACTCCTGTTCATTTATTGAAAGCAGTGAAACTGTTGAGTTCAATTAGCCACCTGGCTGAAGGGTGTGAAGCAGAAAAGGAGGTTTAAACACACAGATATACAGAGCATCATCAAAAGGCACACCGAGAAAGATTGTTAGACGTAAAATACCCCCACCGTTGAAAACTCTCAGCATTCACAAATCATAAACCACGTCCCATAAAAAAGTTTTCTACAATAAATTTGAGGAGTGATGAATCCACCTTTCAGGCTTCAGTTGCCAAGCCCTCAGAATCGACATTTTCCAAGCTCATCCTCACACCACGAATTCTGGAACCACGCAAGGAAAACGCACAAAGTCAAGATTTTCACAGAATCGTGGAACTCCAGGGGCCAGAACTTCAAACATTGCCCAGAGTCTTCAAGACACTGACACCACAAGACAGCAAATTTCATCTTCTCTCCACATGCTTTCCCAATAGCCTTTCTGTGAAAATACGTCACTAAGGGACAGCATAAAACACGCGACTCATGATGAAAACAGCAAACAGGGCTACAGGCAGGAAGTGAAAGAAACAGTTCTATCACAAAGGAAAAGATGGGGGCAGTGAGTGAGTAAGTTTGGTTTTAGGGTCTTTTTTTGTTCGTTTTTTTTTTTACAGTCACCACTTACTCTCCTATATATTTCCAAGATATTCCATACAAACTGCTCACTGCAGGAGACCCAAAGCTTAAAGCTCTTGCGTACTTAACAGAACTGCAAAACATGCTTGAGCAGCTATCAGCCAAAACAAGCAATTTGCATCAATTAATTTGGCCAAGGTTAGAAGCATTTCAAGTCAATTCATCTGTACAAGCAGAGTAACTGAATGCATAACATTGAATGTCCAGAGTAGAATCCAATTATTCATTTTATTTGAGACTTGCTAGTCAAGAAGCCCGCAAAGTTTCCAGCACGGGAGGAAAAGACAAGGTTACCTGAGGGGCACTGGTGAAAAGAACAGGTCACAGGCAGACAGAGCAGCGTCAGCAGCATGTACTGTACTGCTACTGTATGCTGCAGTACTACCTAGAGGCTTGCAGGGGGTACTTATTCTCTTTGGACACCAACCAGCAGGACAAAGTCAACACAGGGGTGACATCCAAAGGCATCAGAAACAAACCTGAATCACTGCTTCACATCCCCTTATGCATGGAGCATACAGCCAAGCAGCGACAGAGGCTCCAAACCAAACAGGCACCAGAGGCAGCACAGGAGAATGCAAGCAGAGGGAGGCACTCCTTACACCACCGCTGTTTGCCATTTTTAAGCTACAGCCTAATCACCTATGCAGGATGGTGTTAGTTGTCAGGTTTTCAACTGAAGAATAGAAGGTTGGCTTAAACTGCTTTTCTCTTCATGGTTTTACAGAAGAGATCCACCCATCGTACAGCACAGGCATCTGCTTTTTGAAGAAGCCTTGCTCTTAAAACAACAGTCAGTTCTGAGTGACATTAAATGGTGCTCAGTGCTAAAGCACTGCTTGAGCAGAAGCACGTATTTCACTCTATTTTAATACGTTTTCAGCCTTTCAAAAGGCACACAGGACGACACACATGGGAAAGATGAGAGAGGCACTCCGAGAGGCAGTTAAACAGAGCTAAGAAGAGATGCCAGAGTTAATGCATCCAGAATCACCATTGTACAGTACAGGCACCTGCATTTTGAAGAAGCCTTGCTCTTAAAACAACAGTCAGTTCTGAGTGACATTAAATGGTGCTGAGTGCTAAAGCACTGCTTGAGCAGAAGCACGTATTTCACTCTATTTTAATACGTTTTCAGCCTTTCAAAAGGCACACAGGAGGACATACACGGGAAAGATGAGAGAGGCACTCCGAGAGGCAGTTAAACAGAGCTAGGAAAGCATTACGTGTGTTTGAGCCCAAGCACAACAGACAAACTGTTCTGCTTAGAATACACAGCTGAGGACCCAAAGAGTGACGTTTTGTGTCAGCTACTGAACAAATTATTTTGCAGGCTGCACTAAGCCTGAGCTGGAATGGACAGAGGCAGGGATGAGCGTCTGCAGACACAGCCGATGGCCGAGTCTGCTGGAAAAGCCAGCTGAACTAGCGACAGGCTGAAAGAAACCACCACCACCACCAGAAAACCCCACCTCACAAACATACACCTCCTGACAGAAGTACAGCTATCCTCTTTCAAGTAAGATCATCTGTCTCAGAAGCCAAGAAAGAAGCCTCTCCCACTGCGTATGAAGTTGCAAGGACGGACTACACTGTTAAGAGCTTACATCTTCCCAATGGGCATCACACGTGGAAATCTCACACCCAGTTTGTTTCTGGTTTCCCTTCTCCTGCTTTGTAAGAGTGAACTCATCATTATAAATCCGGAAAGTAGACAAATACCCAAAAACTGCATTTAGGATGAAGACCAACTCTCACTGCAACCTTATGTCACACAGTCCTGCGCAGTTTTCCATGTGCTGGCACAAGGTTATGCCAGCAAAACCGGAGTCTTGATGTAGTCACTCCCAGCGTGAAAAATTTTAGCTTCTTTAAAACACACTAAGGCATTTCCATATCATCATTTCACCTGCAGCGATTTCAAAAGGTTTTGAGGCCTTCTAACACGAACATCTTACTCGAGAGATCTTGCCAGAATTGATCTAGCAGCAATTTCAAAACGCATGTGCAGTCATCAGTGTGACTGAGCTTGTTCAACTAACACAGCGTTAAACAGCACACGTACTTCAAACCAAAGACGGCACCACCAACCATCCGAGATAAAACGTGCTTCTGCCTTCCACTCCCGCCCGCCTTCCCAAGCAGCGCAGCTCCCCGACCACCCTGTCAGGACAGAGACTCTCTAAAAAACCAAAAAATGCAAGAGAGAAATGAGCAAAAAGAAAGGGCAGAAACAAGAACATCACCAGGAAACTGCACAGTGGTGAACACTGCTCAAAGGTAACAGAGCTGAGGGTACAGAAGCTGTTCTCTGTCTGTAATAAACCAGTCAGGGCTGGGAGAGTGGGGAAAAGTGTTTGAGACATTGCTTAAGACAAAATGTTCAGGAACAAGCACAAGCGTGGAATACCGGAGAGGAGCAGTGTTTCCCAAAATTATTTCTGTCAGTCTAAATAGTTCCATGTATTTAGACAAATTTTAGCACAACACAAATCACATCCAAACAGGCAATGAACTGACGCCAGAGTCACGGCATCCTGAAAAAAAAGGAAAGAAAAGAAAAGGAAGTTCAACAGAACATATTCCTCCCAAAATAGAAACTGATATCAAAGACTGAATGTGCCTTTATAAACTGAAAGAAAGGGAACAAACAAGTTTATAGACACAACATCCTCTACAGATCTGCTGACATAAATGAAGTGAAAAGTATTCTTGCTGCATACACAACACACTCTCCCTGGATAGAACAGGTTTGCTGGAGTAACATACAAATAACAGCTTGCCAACAACCACAACACAAAAATGAAAAGCTATGCATGCCAGTGACTAGAGACAGCCTAACTGCCGTTTGATCCAGGAAAGCACGGCAGAGATCCAACAGATTTCTGATGCAGTCCTGGACAGGTACACGATTGGAGAATGAAGAATTCAAATCTTCTTTCAGATTTTTCCCCCTTTAAACTTATTGTTTGCATTAAAAGCATCAAAAAGCAGCAGTTGCATATTCTCCTATACAAGCGGTAGGGAGAATGTTAAGCTTGTCTCCCATGCCACTAGAACTCGTGGGATGCAGCAACTTCCTAGAGGCTCACTTTCTTCCTGTTTCTGTAACAGGATACAAATGGCCCTCCCTGGGGTTTAGAAATTCAAGTTCTACATCCTCATTGCGCTAGGTGCTGTACACAGGCTGCTACCACCAGTCCCCAAAGTCCTACAGCTTCTTGCCTTCGATAAGTAAACTTAAGCTTAACAGTAAACTGCAGAAGGAAGGGACGGGAAAATGAGATTGTCCTGGTCTGAGCTAAATAGAACTAATTTTCTATTTAGTTATTTTACTTTTCAGCTCAGTCTCTTTTAAGTGGCTGAACTTGCTGAAACTAGCAGCATGTTTTTCCAGTATGTGCTGCTAGAAGATAAGCTCAAGGCCATTGTCTCACCATGGGTGCCGTGTCTGCGCCTACGGGGAGGAGCAGACCCAAAACTGACCAACGAGGTATTCCATCCCACACACGTCATACTCAGTGTAAAGCCGAGGGATCACGAGGGTCTTGACTCTTCCATCTTGGAGCCCTTCCAGCTCAGACCCTTCCGTCCATCTCAATCCTGCAGTGGCTGAGGTCTGAGCAGACCCTGCTGGTTCCTCTGCCTCTGACCCTGATCCATGTGTTCTGCATCAGCTCCCACTGCTGCTGGGTCCAGACCGGGACTTTTCCAGTGCCCTGCTCTGCAGAGCCTCTGGTGACGTATTCGTCATTGGGGGAGGGTGGAAGGACAATTTTACATACAAGTATGTACAAATATATATACAAACCCAATATATTCCATTATTTTCCTATCTACATTATTATCCTGTAGTATTAGTATTACTGTTTTACTAAATCTGCTAGCTTTATTTTCCAACCTGCAAAGTCTCTCTCCCTCAGTCTCTTTTCCCTTCCCTTCTGGGGAAAGGAGAGGCGTTAATAGAGAGCGTCTGTCCAGGATTTAATGGTCGGTC